GTGCTGACAGGTTTAGTATGGTGCACCAGAATTGAGATAAATTTACGAATTCTTAGTAAGAACGTTATAGAGACATTTTTATATTATTTTAAATTATTATAACTAACAAAACGTTCTTAACTTCGGTGATTGTACGGGAACCGGTTTTTCAACGTGATACGGTCGTAAAGACTCAGAGGAAAATTGCATGGTACCTAAGGCTTCTAGTTGTGATTTGCTATTCATGCATTAATCAGCACATATGAAAATATTTGAAAAAATACTGAAATACTACTACTACTACTACTACTACTAATAATAATAATAATAAGAAGAAGAAGAAGAAGACATATTGAAGGGATTCCTGAAGGCCCATACCTTAAAGAAACATGAACTGTTCTCATGAGTTCAACCCACACCTTGAAATCTATGTAAAATATGTGTAATGTTTTTTCAAAATTGCTCAGTGGAAAATGACATGATGCCATTTCTGATCTTAGGTCTCTGGTCGGGAACCGGAAAGAAACGGGTACACACCTGAAATCAAAGGAAATAATAATAATAATAATAATAAATAATAATAATAATGAAGTATTGTTATAGTCTTTAGATGTGTATACACCTTAATATTAACACCCGACAGAAATATATAGTTTCGTGTTTAAATCAAAATTCACGTTAGAAAATCTAACTTCTCATTCAAAACTGTCCTTGGCGGTAATCATTGATCTTAGATTTAATGTTATGCACGAACGACGCTGATAGATCTCGCCAGAAAAGTCTTCCATGCATTAACATGAAGGATTTCATAGCTATCAAACACGGGATACCCTATTGCTGCTTTGTCTGTGAAGCTTCTTCCTATCTATAAAGCACCATCGACAGAAGTACTACATAAAACTAAAAAGTAAATAAATAAAATAACGCTAAATGAAATAGAAAAAAAGATCGAGAAAAAAATATACGGAGCAAAATATAAATAAAAAAAAATAATGTGACCCTGACGGCTTTCATTTATATTTGTAAAATAATCAATCAAGCCACGCGAACGTTTCTGTGGGTTGGAGCATTTAGATGTACTGTGTAAAAGAGAGGAGGGAAATTTGTCAAGATTTTTACGCTCTGCTCCTTTTCCTTCTTTATCTCTCTCTTTCTCTTTCTCTCTCAGTCTCTCCTTCCCTCTCCCACTCTCTCTATTTCTCTCTCTATCTTGTTTTCTTGTTCTCGTTATGGATTTGGAATAGAAGTCCTGGGTTAGGGGGTGAATAAAAAAAAGAGCTTCTTTGAAAAGGGCTAGACAATTGGCGCCGAGAGCGGGTGGTGTTTTCCTACCCTTTTCTTACCCTTTTTCTGTTTACCCTTTGCTTTTCAACTCATTTCCCCCCTCCCACCGCCACTCTCCGACTTCTCTTCTCCCATTTTCTCAGAGTGTCTGCATGTCCGCCTGTCTGTCTGCCTGTCTCTCACCTCATTCATTCACTCTCACTCTCTCTCTCTCTCTGAATGTCTTTTCTTTCCCTCTTTTTCTTTTTTTTTTAATGTTTCTCTTCATCTAGGCCCTAACAAAATCCCTACAGCATTTTTCGTAGCGGTGTGTTTAGGGGGTAAGGCGGTTAAGATGTGTCGACTCAGGGTGGGAGCTTGGCATAAGACCCATTTTTCTGTCTCTTTTCTTTTCATTTTGCATTCTACCTCTAATCAACCGATAGTTAATTTTATATTTCTCCTACTTCTGTTGGTCTAAACCCGTAACTGCATAGTGGAATCCAACCTTCTCCATTCTCTAACTAACCTCCCACATCCTATGGATATTTCGTTCCCTTTCTAGAAGCATCGACTTACATGACATCTTTGCCAAAGGCGCAAACACAGGATACATGACGCCTGTAACTTAAAGCATGTTTCACTGACTCCTATTCTTGTGAACTTTTGCTGCTAAAACATTTTTTAATCTCCGACTTCAAGCTCTATTATTATTGTTGTTGTTGTTGTTACTGTTGTCGTTGTTGTTAGCATAATACCAGTCAAAAATAAATATTTATGGGCCGTTATTTCTGCCTAGGATCAGAGTTTAGCAATCTTCGGACGTTGAGCCAGGATCCAAAGTGTAGTATCTTTTCTTCACCTCTTCCCCGACTTCGGACAATTCCTGGAAGAAAAAAAATAAAAAAATAAAAAAAATAAACTTTGAGGGATACCTAGTACGAGATATATTGTAGACATATATCTAAATGTATGGGCAGGCCACATTTATAAACGACCCTCTACGATGGGAGAGGCGAGTATATATCGGAACCGGGTCAGGATATGTTGTCTGAACGCTCTGTGAAACGGCTCACACGTGGGCACTGAAAGGTTCTCGGCACGACTAAGATTCACTTCGAAACATATTTGGGATGTTCGATCATTTGGTTTTAATTTGGGAAGTGGATCAGACTGAGAAATTTACATCACCCCGTCGTAAATATATATAATGAAGTATTAGTCACTATTTGTACTAAATATATATTATGTAGTATTAGTCATTAATTGTACTAAATATATATTATAAAGTCACTAATTTTACTAAACTTGTAGTAAGTGCTGGCTTACACGAAAGATTATATTACAGCAATTCTCCTCGTCACTATAGAATTGTTTCTCCTATTCTTGCTCTTTCCTTTAATGGTGCCGTTTTCAACTCCCTCAAGAGCGATACTAGTGCTCTGATAATGACTTGTATGACCATCACATTTATGATGGATATCTTTCTCCTCTGAAAAGATCGAAACATATTTATTTTTCCTAATTTTACTTCCCTTCAAGTCTATTATGTGATCCGGCCGAATTGTGAAATTAACGATTTATCATCTATTTTTTCTTTTTGTTTGCATATACCACATCCGGTATCCTTTGAAACTCGCATAGGATTTTATGTATTTCCTACTTTGCGTCAGATTATGATGAGTACGCATTCAAATGCCGTCCTAGGTATGACGATAAACTACATCAGCGTCCTGAGTAAGACGATAAACGACGTCCTACAGGAATACCACTGATCAGGCGGTTTTGAGGAGCGTGGAACCACCTCTTAATTGCTGGTGTTCCCAGGTCCACCCTGACTCTGGGTAGTAGCACCCGTTAGGGTCCCAGCTATGGGCAAATAGTTGACCCCCAACCTGATTCAAAACACTATGAAAGTGTAAAAATAGATTTTAATACCAGAAATACTTCGTGAAACAATTACTAACAGCAATAAATTTTTGAAAATAAATATTACCAGCAATAAATTTTTGAAAAAAGAAAATATTACCAGCAATACATTTTGGAAAAAAAAGTATTACCAGCTATAAAAATCTTGTCAGCATTAAATAACCCATTGAGATTAATGTCACAAAATAAATCAAACGAAACTATACATTTTTGAAAAAAAAAAAATTATTACCAGCTATACATTTTTGAAAAAGAAATTACCAGCTATACATTTCTGAAAAAATTACCAGCAGTACATTTTTGAAAAAAAAATATTACCAGCAATAAAAATCTTGCCGGCATTAAGTAGCCCATTGTGGTTGATATGCCGTAAAGCAAATCAACCAAATCAAACCAAGCTACATTCAAATGGTGTGTATGTTCAAAATACAATGGATCACCTTTCCTTTCTATTCATAACTAGTAATGTATTTTTTCTGGGTTAGTTTACAATCATCTTCTATGTAGTCGTTGATTTTTTTTTTTATTTCTATAAAGTTTTATATAATGAATTAATGGGTTTTATTTGTACATTATATTTTTTATTACTTTAAGCGTTATATTTGGTAGTTACATACATTAGGGTAAATAACAGTATAATTCCCTGTCAATCAGCATGTGTATTTGAGAATCTTAGAAAAAAGAAAGAAAACGCGCCTTCCAGTTGGATCCGAACCTGCGTCCCCTTTTAACGGAAACCTAGCTTGCTTTTTGGCTGCTCTTCCTCGAAAGACATCTATCGTTAATCAGCGTACAATTACTATAGTCTGTTATCAGTCTGAGCATTTATAGAGTAATGTTTGATTTATCTATTTGAACAAATCACATCTTACGGGACTTCTTTCCTTAAATAGATAATGGTCTCCATAGACAAAAAGCGGTTGAGGCACGTTTCGGCTTAAGAAGTTTTCCCTGACGGAAAAACGAATACAGGTTCGATTCCTGACGGAAGCTAGTTGTTATTAATTTCCCTGTTTAAGAAGAAGAAAACAGGTTTAGTAATTTAAAGACGTGTACTCACTAAATTAGTTTATAGTAATAAGAAACAATATGAAATAAAAAAAAGTCCTTTAAAAAAGTATTGTTTATATTCCGTGCATGAAACAGAAGTTAGTAGTAGTTCAAACAAAAGATATATTTTCCTTAAATAAGTAATTCTAAATATTGTTACTCCGTGGCTAAATTTGGTCTTTATATAACTGGTTTATATTCCATAGTTTTATATCGCTGTTAGATATTCACTTACTCCCTTAAGTCTTCCCATACGGAGAAAATGACGATTCATTCTGCCAATCGCCAGATTTATCGTATGGAGTTTCTATGACGTTGTTTTATTCCATTTGTTGTGTTTTCTTTTCATTGCTCTGCTCCTTTTAGCGATGGTTTTGGCTTCTATAATTCGTCTTTTTTAAATCTTGCTGGTGTACTCTCCTTTTGATTTCTGACAAAAAAACGTCATCCCGAGTCAGACGTTTGGCCACATTGCATTAAAATACCGGTTCTCGTACGATTACCGAAGTTAAGCAACGTCGAGCCGGGTCAGTATGGGTGACCGCTGAGATTACCAAATGCTGTAAACTTGAATGTGTAGCTGATCGTACGGGAACAGTTTCAACGTGATATGGCTTACGGACATATCACGTTGCAACACCTGTTCTTGTACGATCATCGAAGTTAAGCAACGTCGAGTCTGGTCAGTATGGGTGACGGCTGAGAATACCAGATGCTGTAAACTTGAATGTGTAGCTGATCGTACGGGAAGAGGTGTTTCAATGTGATATATCTTACAGACATATCACGTTGAAACACCTGTTCCCGTACGATCAACGAGGTTAAGCAACGTCGATCCTGGTCAGTATTTAGATGGGTAACCGTTTGGGAATACCAGATGCTGTAAGCTTCGATGTGCGGGTGGTGTAATGGATAAAGGCTCAGATTTGTTAATCGGAGAGCCGAGTTTCAATTCCACCTGGGTTCGTTATATTCCGTTTTACGTGCAAATCCACATCTTCTCCCAGCTATGTGATAATTAGTAAGATTTGTATCACTAAATCTATTATTATTATTTTAAAAATAATCTTAGAATATAAAACTATTTTCTCGCTTTAAATAACATGCAATGGGTTGATAAGCCGTAAAAGACGAATCAAGCAATATACTTTGAAAAATGAAAATGACACTGAGAAACCTTCAAAATCTTCATTCGAAATCATGAAAAATCGTTAAGAAAAACGGTTACAATATATGGAAAAATGAAGGCTTCTGTTTAAAGCTGATATTTGGCAAGAAGGTTTTATTATTATTTATATGTGTTCCTATATGAGTTATTTGAAAACAACAAACAATAACAAGACTCTGGGGTTAAACTGAAAGTGAAGATGTGTAAAAATACCAAATGTTTCCTTAAGACATAAGTTGCCAGAGATTATTTACTTAACCTATCAGAGATTTTTCTAATCAAACCCAGGGCCCTAGCAATGATCTATTGCAATGATTCAATTTTAGTAGTCTTGAGTATGACGATAAACTGCAGAAAAGTGTGAGATTGGATGTTTTGAGGAGCGTGGAACCATTTTTATACTAAAAATACTAGCAATACATTTTTTATATAGAAATTGTCAACAATTCATATTTATAGTAAAATTATCAACAATATGCACATACTAACAAATTGTAGTGACTTCACCTAAGTTCCTTTAAAAAAAAAACTACCAAAGAGCCAACATGAAAGAATTCTTTCATGATATTAATCCATATAATATACAGTGTAACCCGGATGTAAGAGAGTTGTCGGGACAGGAGAAGTCTCTTATATCCGGGTTTCTCTTATATCCGGGTTTGGTCCATTTTATATACATTAACACAGGTTCTAATTTGGGACCAGAGAAAATCTCTCTTATATCCGGGTTTCTCTTATATCCGGGTTTCTCTTATATCCGGGTTACACTGTACTACAATTTTTATAGAAATCAAAATGCATTCTAAAATATATCATACAATATAAAACACATATATCACCCCCACTAGTAATTGTGTCTACACAAACATTTATATGCACAAAAGCTGAGAATCATCTACCATGTATTCAATTGTGAAAGCAGAATAACATATATTTCTATTACTTCAAAAATCCCAAGAAAATTAAATTTCAGCATTAAATGACCCATAAGGTGTTGATATGCCGCTGAGTAAATAAATCAATCAATCATTAGGGTGATGGCGATATAATTGTAGAAATGTTTTAAAATATTTCAAGACTGAATAATACTATTTGTTTTGTGTAACAGTTTAATAGTTAATAGTTTTGCGTGAAGTTATATTTTGGAATGCAGTTTGATTTCTTTAAGAAATAGTAGGACATTTTATGGCTCTAATGATTGCCTTACTTGAGTAAAGTCTTGGTATTTTCACACATTTTCATTTTCCTTTTAACCCCACGGAGTTTTGTTTTTTTGTTAGTTCTTTTCAAATAACCCATATAGGAACACATATAGGCCCTTACACACACACACACACACACACACACACACACACATATATATATATATATATATATATATATATATATATATATATATATATACACACACACACTGAAATATGTTTGTGAAGAATTGTATTAAAGAAGAACGAATTTATTTCATATCCGAGGATATTGGTGTCTATGATTGATGTCCAGGCCCAGGTAAAGAGAATGGATCTCGAATGCTGATTTTCAAAGCAAGCAATAGTAATTATTATTATTATTGATTAAGAAAACATCATCCCATCATGTAACGCTAATATAGACATCATGATACCTAGACTGATACGTGCAAGACAAAGAAATGTGCGCGTTATGGTGACAATTTTGGATAAAAGCAGTTTATATACTTACAGATGGGTCCCAGTAAGTGTTATCTTTAGCTAAGCGAACCCAATCTACTCAGGTATGTACAATTTGGGGGTGTTCCTAAGTATCTAGATGCAATTTCTTTCACCTCGGCTGCCTCACCTTTCAAACTTAAAAACAAACAAACAAATAAGCCATGTCGTTCGCGATGACTCCCTCTCGTGAATATTTATCGTCAGGCAACTGGTAAGTTGTTCTGTCGTACTAAACGGGATATTTACTTTAGTTCGTCTTAATTCCTAGGAGGCACGGTGGAGTAATGGATAGCGGCTCGGATTGAGGAATCGAATTCCACTCGAATCCATTACTCTTGCTAATGCCTTTAAGAAAGGTATGAATCAGGACACATTCAAATGCCGTCCTAGGTATGATGATAAACTTCATCCGCGTCCTTTCTTCTCCCCCGGCTATGAGTAAATAACAGGACAGATTGGGTTCTATAGACTTGGGTGGCTATCGGTCTAGGAGAAGTAAAAAACCGGCCTGGAGAGAGTTAGGGTTCCATCAGGATATCTTGCCCATGAAAAACTTCTACTGCAGCTGTAGTACACATGGTAGCCCTACGGGTCACGGGATAAAAATTTCACCAAGATAACATTAACGCACGCAGATCAATTAATATCAGAAGCCATGAGAGTAATCCTGCATGTAGCATCAGGTAGTTATTATTATTATTATTATTATTATTATTATTATGGATTTATCTTTGTATATTTATTTCTTCCCGGATCACAAATGTCATTTTCTCGTGCACTTTTATGTAAATGAAAGAAGTAAAAAGCTACCAGTGAATAGACATTTTACATAAAGACCTTCCTAGGATGTGGGACGTGTTTGTAAGAATGAATTTGTTGTTTCCTTAAGTCATGGGTTTCTAGAGATTACTTTAATTGACCTATCAGAGACTTTCCTTATCTAGCCTAGAGCCCGAATAGCAACTGGAATTATTGGAGTCTTCATGCGCCACATTCAAAATTTCTATTTCAAGTTTTTTAATATTTTGATATCTTCAAAGCTATATTATAATCTGTTTTGGATGTATTTTTTTTTTACTATGGCTGGGATTAACTTTATTATTATTATTATTATTATTATTATTATTGTTGTTGTTGTTTTTTGACTTTGTTTAGTGCAATACGAATTTTTCAAAAGTCTAAACCAGAGACTTCAAAAGACAACAGGTTTTGTTTTTCAATCAGAAGATGCAAACAGATTAAGGGCCACGCAAGCAAGGAGAAAAAAAAATAATAATGTAATTATTGTGACATTTTGGAGAGAAATTTACAATGTCGGAAGTACACATGAGTATATATATTTTGTAATTCACATGTATTAAGGACACTTAGAATTTGCACCAAATATTTGTTTGCTCCTTTTGATGTCATTTCCAAATTTCCAATAACATCATATGTAGAAGAGACTTGAGGCACCTGGTATTCAAAAGCGGTCACCCATCTAGTTTATGACTAAACTGGACGTTGCTTAACTTCGGTGATCGTACAGGAACCGGTATTTCAACGTAATGTGACTGTAAACCCGTTCAGTCAGTGAATGCCGAATGCTTCCTGTATGGAAACAGCTAATCTCATCAATGCAATTATCATTCATTTCTTTTTAATAACAAACAAAATGCAGTCAGTGTTGTTCTGGATACGATATCAGTATTTGATGGTTTTCTATACCAATTCGAGTCTATAAAGAATTTCTCTCGTTGGGTTCCCAGCGGTTACACTCAAATAATAGAGACAGACACTCTATCTCATTCGCTGTTTTTCTCCTCCTACTCACACACGCCCTCCCTCTCTTTCTTTCTTTCTTTCTTTCTTTCTTTCTTTCTTACATACGCACTATCTCCCTCCCTCTCTCTCTCTCTCTCTCTCTCAGACACATACATACACGTGTACGCGAGCACACACAAGGTATTACACGTGCATCGACGTATACACGTGCACGCACGCACTTTGGGTCCCCGCTAAACGATTGTTTCCCGGTACCCCATCGTTTCTAAAGCAAACAGTCACGTGTTTTCTATTTGTCATTAAAGGCACGTTATATTTCCCATTAAGAAAGCCCCATTCCACTGCCCCGTTACACTACCCACAACCAACAGCGGGTGGGAGCCTTTTTTTTCCTCGCCGTTATCATCAATGTTTCACTGTGTCACACACCAATCATCAAAATAATCTCGCCCTCCTACCCGCCAACGACAGACCGCACTTACCCCCCGGGGAAGGGAAAACGCGTTAAATGAATGCTATGGATTCGTGTTACAGTCGGAATAAGGACTGCCTATAGTCGACGAGCGAACCCCTTAAAATAAAGTGATGAAGCGATGTATTGCAAAAGGGGAGTCGATGGGGGTCAGGACTTTCATTTCTAGCCAGTCTTTAGTTATCACCTTACTCGCCCTCATTTTTTACCGTTTTTTTTAAAATGTCCCAAACATTTGTACATTTCTTTTCCTGTTAAAGATGGCCGAACTCTGATTTTGTTTCAGATTTTTTTTTGTATAAAAATCAGATTACAAAAATTAATAAAAAGATGATTGCAAGGTACGCAAAACAATTACTTCCCGTGTAAGTGGTAGGTAAGCTAATATTTCGATGTTTTATTCAGATCATTGTTAAAGCTAAAATATGCAGTGTTTAATTCAGTGAAATAAATAAGGAATAAATAGCAGGTAACGGTGAATTTGAAGTCGATTACATTAATCTATATAAATAAATGCAAATGTCAGTGTGTCACACTTTTTCAACTTTACTTCTAGAGGCCGTAGCCCAACATAACATACCTTTCTGGAATCTGGCCAACTCTGCAAATTAAAAACATTCCAGGCTTGATCCAGATCAGCGATCATAAAAGTTTGGATTCCTAAATTTTCATTACTGCTATTGTTTTCGGCGAGTTTCTTTTCGTGATTTTTTGCGACGAATTTTGTATGATAACAATTTTTATAAGTTGGAAATAAGTTTGGGAATAATTGAAATTAATTACCAAATCCAGCGA